ATCAACCACCAAGCATAAAAACCTTACTGAAAACTACCGGTAATCGAATGTATATGTATATCTTAATCTTACTGAACTGTTTTATTAATCTCCTAGAATATTAACCTTTTCAGAAAGGTTCTTAGTCACGGAGTCATCGCTGCACTAAGATTCCTGTAAGACAAGAGGTCTGCATCCTTATTGCTTTACAGGAAGGTTTGCTGCCTGTTAATATTGACATACAGTTTTCAGCGACATGAGAATCCAGCTGTTCTTTGTTGTCCTGTTTTGTGGCAAGAGTGTTTTTGACCAGCGATCTGATTCTCTGCAGATGCAGGAGTTTGAAGAGTGAAGCTTACGATCTATATTCTCATCCAGGTTAATGTTTAACAGTCTTATCACTGCTTATTCCTGTGTTCAATGACCTTAATGTTATGGAAGAAGTGTTTGTTTGTTTTTTATAGCTAAGTGAATATCTGTATTTGGAATGGACTTTTTGACTAATTGTAGAATAACTGAGCGTTATAGAAAATTATGGATTTATAGTCTTTTACTCACCAACATTAAATGGATAGCCTGTAGCTGTGTTGTGCTTAATTTTTATATTTTCTCTATTTTGAGCAAAAAAAGGCTGTATTATTGCACATGTACACACTCATAGAGGACAAGTAAAATGCATAGTTAGGATGAGATTATGTTTTTGAGTCCATAAGAAGGAACAGCGGCTTCATGTCCTTTTAGTTTTGACAGCATAAACTGAGGCTCTAAGTTTGGTCTAAGTATGTTTGGCTCCGGCCCAGTTAGGCCACATCCTGTGGAGGCAGGGCCACTGTAACTCAGTCTGACTTCCTTTCTGTGGAGATGGGATCCAGAATAGCCTAATGTCAGAACCTCCCAACCGTTGTCCAGTTTGGATACAAATCAGAGCCCTAAATTATAAAGAAATTGGAAAAAAAAAACGTCCCCCCTTTTTCCCTGCAAAAAATACCAATTTTACTTTAGTCCACCAGACGGCAGATTGACATATATCGCGGAATCGTTGAAGAAAAAGTCTATTTTTGAGGTTAGACTGAAGTACCAAGAGAAAATGAAACCAAACAGGCTTATCTCTAATTACCTGTGATGTAACATACCGTATTATCGGTTCACAAAAAAAAGCTGGGGAAAAATGTCTTTCCTGTCCTTTGGTAGCAGTATAACAATAACAGTAAAAAACTATTATTTTAACTTAGTTCTTCTGACATCTTAGCCACATCCCTTCATCACTCAGCTCCTGGTTTTCGTCTCTTTGAAAAATCACAAAGTTAGACCTGCCTGTAGTGTGAATATTTCTTTTTCAGATTTGGATGTGTTATTTGAATGTTCCCTGTATTTGTTAAGTGTGTATATGTATATGTATATATTTATATATATATATATATATATATATATATATATATATATATATATATATATACACACACACATACAATCATATATACAGTGAGCAAAATAAGTATTTGAACACCCTGCTATGTTGCGTGGAGGGGTCTGATATTGTCATTTTAAATGAACAGACATAATCTAATAAAAATAAATAATAAAATTGCAACTATTTGTATGATGCAGCTGCAATTAAGTATTTAAACACCTGAGAAAATCACTGTTAATATATGGTAAAGTAGCCTTTGTTATTACAGAGGTCAAACGTTTCCTGCAGTTTTTCACCAGGTTTCCACACTGCAGGAGGGATTTTGGCCCACTCCTCCACACAGATCTTTTCTAGATCAGTCAGCTTTCTGGGCTGTCACCAGAGATGGGAAGTAACAAAGTACAAATACTTCGTTACTGTACTCAAGTAGATTTTTCTGATATTTTTACTTTACTACTTATTTTTATGGCGACTTTTTACTTCTACTCCTTACATTTTTACACAAATATCTGTACTTTCTACTCCTTACATTTTAAAAAATTGTCTCGTTACTTTAGTTTTGAATCATTTCAATGGAGTTACCGTTATTATTTTTCACGTCATCGATACCAAATTTAATCTAATTGGATGAGAATCTACGTTGCATTTGATGCACCACTACAAGATGAATCGACAGATTCGGCGGTATTCATTGGCGGCAAATCATTGCAGCTTGGTGGCGGTGGCGTTAGCATAGTAGCATGGACGACGAGATGATTGAAAATGAACACAATGGAGATCTAGTCCTATTGGCAGATATCCATTTAAAATGTAGGCAACGGCATGAAAAAAGTGGTTTCTACTTTTACTTTTATACTTTAAGTAAATTTACAAGCCTGTACTTTGTTACTTTTACTTGAGTAAAGAAGTTTAATCAGTACTTCCACTTTTACCAGAGTATTTGTTAACACAAGTATCTGTACTTTTACTCAAGTACGGAAGGTGAGTACTTTTGCCATCTCTGGCTGTCACTGAGAAACACGGAGATTGAGCTCCTTCCAAATATTTTCTATTGGGTTTAAGTCTGGAGACTTAGACCATGCCAGAACCTTGATGTGCTTCTTCTAGAGCCACTCCTTGGACCCATCTTCAATACTCTAATTGACGGAACGAGGTTTTGCCCAAAATGTTGCAATACATGGCCCCTGTCTTCCTGTCTTTAATACAGCACAGTCACCCTGTCCAATGTGCAGAAATACCCCCAAAGCATGATGCTACGACCCCCGTGCTTCACAATAGGGATGGTGTTCTTCGGATGGTACTCATCATTCTTCTTCCTCCGAACATGATTAGTGGAATTATGACCAAACATTCTATTTTGGTCTCATCTGACAACATGACTTTCTCCCATGACTCCTCTGGATCATCCAAATGATCACTGGCAAACTTAAGACGGACCTTCTGTGCCATGCAGGATTTCAAAACATGACATTTTAGTGTATTACCAAACCTTAGTAATTGGATTCTTACTGATTGTATGGTGGACAGGTGTCTTTATGCAGCTAACGACTTCAAACAGGTGCATCTAATTTAGGATAATAAATAATAATAAATGGAGTGGAGGTGGACATTTTGAAGGCTGACTAACAGGCCTTTGAGCGTCAGAATTATAGCTGATAGACTGTTGTTTAAATAACCATTTGCAGCTGTATCATATAAATAGTTAAAAAAAATCATATAGTGTGATTTCTGGATACAATGAGAATTTTAGACCCCTTCATGATTTCATGATTTCGTGCAAAATAGCAGGGTGTTCTGTTTTCCCCTCATTGTACATGCATACATATATTTATATATACATAAATAATACATATGTGCATCACTATCAACATCCTTAGAAGTCAGCTTTACAATTTTATATCTTAATACCTTTAACTGCAGGTCAGTCTAATAAGATATCATCATTCACACTAAGCTAACCAGCAAACATGTTGTTTAAAGTATAGTCTATTAACATTTCGGCATCAAGTCCACTTATTTCCACAGCTGATACATTGTCATTTCCTTGGCTACTACTTTCTTGCAGTTTTAAAATTCTGTACTATACAGAAGTGACAAACTGCTCAGCAAACCGGAGTGGCTGTCAGTTGTATGGTGGTTTGAAAAAACGTGTATTTTTAAGAATTAGCTACATAAGGTGCCTGAATGAGCAGCTTTGGATTTGTGAATTGATTTTTACACATTGTCCAAAAGAGGGCAGTGCAGGGGCTGACAAACTACAGTGCAATAAATGGGTCACTTTAAAGCATGTAATCAACACCCAGAGTTAGAGGAACACTTTCCACTGTGGAGATCCGTAAAAGGTAAGAAGTGATTTGGGGGAAGGGGAAGTCTCACTCTGCAGGTACGCTTGAACATTGTAATACCTTTTTTTGTTTTTTTAGGAGTTTTATATCAATTTCTCAATTCTACTAAAACCATAGGTGGAAAAAATGTGTATTCATGAAATCCAAGATATTATAGTAGTTTTATACAGGAATTTCTGAGGGCACCCCCATTCCTTTGTCAGGGCATGTAATTAAAGGCCTTTCTCACATCCAAGCCTGAGGGATCTCTCATCACAAAGGCTTCCATGTGGCCAAGGATTTCCAAAGGGTGAAAAGTGATCAGTCATAAAATATGCACCTACTGGAAAGTATGTTAATGAACTATAGTAACAGAAATCAGTATTTAGCTACGGTTCCTTTTGTATTTATTTCTTCATGTAGAATCGGGCTCTGCTGATATGTTCAAGAAACCCAGTTTGCTTTATTAGTGGCCTTCACCTTGTCTGCGTTGTTGGTTCTGATAATAGCTTAGGTCGGGTGACACTGCTGGTTAATCCAGCACCGTAATACTGTAATCATTATAGTAGAGATGTTATTTGTAACAACGAGGGGAGGAAAATGTAATAGTTTCTGATTGCAAAAACTCCAGCTGCAGTCCACATGTTCCTTCCTCTCAAACTCTCTTTCCACTAAACTTCCAATTGACGAGCTGCACGTAAAAAAAAAAAAAAAAAGAAAATCCAACTCACATTATTGAACATAATGTTTTGCGGAGTTCCAAAGTTTAGGAGAATATCTTTAATTTATCTGACTATTTACTATTCTCCAATTGGCTTTAACATGCTCACTGGATGATTACATTTAGAGGAGGAAATGCTGGACCTTATAGAGAGCAGTGGGAATATTGCAGAATGGGGAAGATTGGAAAGAGTCTAGTAGTTTGAAATTAGTATCATATATGACTACTTTTCTGATATACAGGGTTCAATCTTTTTCTGGAGGTTTAGACTGACTGGATGGCAGCCATCCTCTCAGCCTTTCACATTCTGTTAACCATAAGATTTTGGAAACAAATGTCTTAGAACAAAAATTTCCTGAAGCTTTACTTTTTGGGTTTTCTTTGCTGCAAAATGCAAACATGAAAATGAAATCATAATTTTTGTAATGAATCTAGATTAGTTTCATCTTAAGAGAATCACAGAAACCAATTACTTTAATCATGATAGCCTAACTTTAAGATGCACCTCTATAGGTCTGCAGGATGTGATCCACATTCAGCCCAAATAAAGACTCATACAGTGATATAAGTTTTTCTAAAATTATATTAACAAGCAATCTTTCCTCAATTTGAAATAAAAAAATATCAGCAAATAAAGGCAACATAGGACAGATGTGTATAATGTGTAATGTTCACAGGAGAAAAAAAAATAAAAATAAAACCAAATTTCTCATCACATTTACAAGACTGATGCTAACCTTATAATGACGTCTACTAGAATCAGCTGAGAAAGCTTTGACTAACTGAATAATTGGAGCAATATACGTAGTCAAAGGTTTTTTATCAAAATATAAAAAAAAAAAAAAACATTGATGGGCAAAAAGGGGTGGGGGGTGGGGTTATGGGGACGACCAGTGATATAAACAAATGGTTCATTTCATCGTAACAAAACCAGAAACGCAGAAGGCTACGACAATGGGGAGCACAGAGTGTTAAGCACAGGCAGGTCAGATGATACACACCACGTCTTAAAGCAGGTGTCCACATAGAGAAGAGCAGCACTAGGTAGTATGTTGTACACAAACCCTCCGCACTCATGCACTCGCTTCCTATGCCAAAGTCTGGCTTCCCTTCACAGCAAACAGCAGCTGCAGCAGTCCAGCTGTTTGAACGCAGCAGCCAAGAGAGCAGGGCCGGTCAGCTGTCAATCAATAAACTGGAAACTGGATCAATATGACATTATTACAACTAAAAGCCACATTCCTTTCAGACATTTTCCCCTTAAGAATCTCTTTAAATAAAAAGGACTGGTTAAGGGGGAATATTACATTATTATTATTATTAAAGGTGGCCATTGGGTATAAAGGCAAATTCCTATGTCACCTGACATAGTGAGACAGTATGCATGGCAGAAAACTAAATAAAAAATAAAAAAATAAGGACAAGACAAAGACTTTCCAAGCTCACAATGCATATGCACACTCTCCAGTGTTTGAATGACAAAAAGCGGATATTTCCTGCACATTTTGCACCACGAAGCGATCATTGAAATGTACAAGAGGTAAACGTCAACCATTTTTTTTTTCCTGTTCACTGAGGAGGTTGATGAAATTTTGGGGAGGGGAGGGGGCAGCTTCTGCGAAGGAACATAAAACGTGTCATGTTTGCATTTCAGTAGCTGGTTTTTTTATGTCAGATGTGTGGTAGTAATAAAGGGAGGAAATAGTTCTTCCTTTTGAGTAAAGGAGCAGTGGTTGCTTGCATTCTGGCATTAGTGTGGAACCAAAATGGCGCCTGTCCCTGATTTTGGCGCTGATGTGTTTTGGCCATGTTCTGTCGCGAGTTCAGATCCTTGGAATGATGGCAAATAATGCTGGGTAGGGGTGGTGGGACAGTGATGGGAGGGAGGGGAGGTCACACGCTCATCGTCATGGTGGGAGAGTACTGCTAAAAGAAGAGAAAAGAAGATAAGGAAAGGAAAAATAAACCAGTAGGTTGTTTTTTTCAATACATTTCTGAAGCTCTACTGCTACAATCAAAAGTTGGTGAAGCAGCAAGAAAGAGGAGCCACTCACACTATCACTCTGGAAAGAGTGGAGGAAGTTTCCACTCAGTTCTCCATCATCCCTCGGGGTCCCAGGAGGATTGCTAATGCCACTTAGATTGTTTGGGGAATTCTGGAAATAAAAAGATCACAGAGGTTTTTTTCCTCTTAAATGCAGGGTTTTTTTTTCCTTTAAGTAAGATAAAGCTTTAAAATTAAATAACTTTGTGCAATCACATAATTTACCTTATTCATTCCATCCATGTCTCCAGAGCCTGGACAAGGAACAGCAAGATTAAATAAATTACACCATTATTAGAATATAAATAAGAGTTCTGTTTATGAAAGTCCAAAGAAGAGAATAAAACTTTTATGTTTTTACTTCAACAGCTGGTAGTTACCTAGTGATCCATTCATGTGGTGTGGTTCCATCCCAGCCATAGCTCCCAGTGGCCCGTCAGAGCCAGGGCCCATAGGGAACTGAGGAGGTGAAAAGAGGGAGAGAGAAAAAAGAAGTGAAATTGACTTACTAGCATCACAGCACAGTTTGTTACAGATCTTATTCAAATGAAAAAAAAAAAATTATGCTCCAAAACCAACTACACTCATTTGATATATTTTTCTAGTAAAGTAACAAGAGAGATGAGCAGCCAGGAGTTCGGGTCTTTAAGATCAAGCTGTATAAAAACCACATCACCTCTACATATATCTGATTATTGCTGCTTTTTAACAAAATATACGTTACAGTGTTTGGAGTGGGGCAACACTATCATGACAGAAAGAGATGAACCTGAGATAAAAACCTTGTTAAACAGCAGAAGAAGATAGAACTCTTCAAGCTGCAGCTAAAGCCCTGAGCTTTCTAGTGTTCTTAGAGACCTGGGTGTCATTCATGGATCTCCAACACCATGTGTTGCAATAAAACTGGCTCCCATCTCCTGTTGTGCCGTATCCAAACATTTTACTGGAAAGTTAGGTAGAGGGAAAACATTTTGCATGGGCAAAAGTAGGACCAGCAGATTAAAAACTTGAAAACAGATTGTTTAAAAGTGAAACAAACAATGTTATATAAACAAACATAAGTCAAATCAGGCCTTTCCTAAACCAACATGCCACCAAGCTCCTGTTTCAATCTGTTTAAAATGCAGACATTCTTCTTTAATTAGCATCTTTTCCTCTTTTTTTGAGCTGGCAAGTAAGACAGTTTGCCAATGAACTATAATGGGTGAAATATGTTTTTTAAAAAAAACCCCGACTAATATCTTATTTAAAGGTCATAATACCTTATTTTAACCCTCTCCAGGCAGATGGTGCAGATCTGCAACAGCTAAATGCCACTTAGCTAATTACTCCACATCCATATTTTAAGAGCTTTTGTTATTCAGAAGTACAACAGGAGGACTTAGTTGTGCATTTGCAACAAACAGTTTCTCTCCAGCTCACCAGATAGCACTGCTGACTCACTTTCAACATGGCTGAGTCCTTGGTGTCACTGAAACAGATTTTCTAAGCACCAATTTGATGCAAGTATCACTACCAATTTCCATTATTTTGAAATCAATTCTACCTAAGTTGAATCATGAATGTGTATAGATATGACACATGCCAATTAGTAGATTTTATCTCCTCTGGGTTTTTCCACCAGAGGCATCTCGATTTCAATGTTGTGGATTCGCAACGTGTGCCCAAACAGGTACCAATGGATGCTACATGCTTTATCTCCTAGTTTGCCTATATTTTGAGCAACAGTTTAACAGAAACTGCCTTCTCAATAGGTTTTGAGATGTCGGTGGAGAAAAAGTGTTAGAAAAAGTTGTCTCTAGTTTTGTGAGAGAAATGTTTTTTCTTCGAATTTTGTTTTGTTAATTTTTTGTTTGTGACATTCAAATAAACGTTCATATCAGATTCAGTCTTCAGTGTTAATTTAACACTCCGGGCCACTGTTGCAAATCTGCAACATCCCAGAATTCATCTCATGTGAAGGTCTCTCTCTCTCAAAGTCTGAATTGTATATTACTATCCCATATGATCATTTTCACCAAATATCAGATTTTTTCTGCAACTAAAACTTAATTTGAGCCTGAGAGGGTTAGGGGATATGTAATCTTTCCATAGAAAGTTTAAATTACTTGCCAAAAGTAAGGGTAAAATGTTTTTACTTATTTTTGAGCATTTTTTTTTTTTTTCTTTTTTTTTTGCAATGGGGTCAACTCCTCCTACTTCAACATCCTCCAAGCAGATCTCCCAGACTGTGCAGAAAATGGCAGTGTGTCTGTTGTTAAATGACCCTAAAAGAGAGCTCAACCGACTGGCTATGTCATTTCTGATGTTGGCCTTCAAAGTTAGAAATGGAACGGCACTTGAAAAAGACTTGTTTCGACTCGATTCACTCCAGTCGTCAAAAGATCATCAGCTAGCTGTGGATATATCACGGTCAATACAGTCCAGATTATATAATGAATTGTTCCACAACGGTGGAGTGACCTACCAAATGCTGTCATAACAGAAATGACTCTTTGACCCGACTCAAGCTCTGTTCTATAGACTCCCCTCCCTTTGTCTGCTCTCTGTTTCTTTTCAATCACCAGTGGTCTTCCTTTGAAGCAGCTTCTTTGTGAAAGTTAGTATTAACTGCGTTGTTATATCCACATCCATAAGCCAGTTTCAAGTCATATTCGCAGGTCTCTCCATTTAAATACTTGTTCAAAAGCCACCACAGCTGCTAAATTAACATAAGATGTTCTTACATTATTTCGGTTGCCTGGTCCAGTGTTGATCATAGTATACAAGTTGTCACCAGAGTTGTTTGAGTCTGAGGGGGAGAAAATAACAGCTATATTCAAAAATAAATGCAGGAGAAAGTGTTGAAAGGTAAGTATTTAGGAGGGGAATGTCTAACCTGCAGGGCTGGGCATGATGGGAGTTCCTGGAGGACCTCCGCCACCAGATGCCCCCTTTGGAGAAACAGTCCCAGATGGAGACATATTACAGCTATTTGTCTGAGAATTACAACCATTTTGTATAAAATGTATAAAGAGCTAGGAGTCTGTCCTCACCCCATATGCGCCAGGAGAGGGTGAGGAATAAGGCATCTGAAACCGAAGAAAGAGACATTACAGACTGAGAGCAAACCCTTTCTACACCTCGAGCTGTCATCATTTATCATCCCATCATCCTAATACCATTACTGCTGAATGTCCAGCTGTCTGTGGAAACTATGACACACAATACTACAATTACATCCCAGACTAGAAGGAGCAGGAAAAACAGCCATCTAAAACATTGTTTTTCTAACTGCATGTATGAGTTTTGTTGCGCAGTTGCACTCACAGTGTTGGCGTTGTTGGGATTGGGCCATGGTCGACCTGTCCCCGGACCCCTAAAGGGGAAAAACCTGGGTCGTTTCTGGCACTTGTGCAAAATAAATCAAGCAACAAAAGGTACAAAAGAACAAAGAGCTTACATGTTCACTCCTGGCATGCCAGGACCCATGGCGTTGTGTGGAGGCCTCATACCACCACCGAAATTCTGAAAAAGCAATCAGATGTTCAAAATACTTTTTTCAAACAAATTCAGATCAAATTTGATAAACACATTCACAGGGATGGTCACTAATGGCATCAGAATTACATTTTGGGTTGGATCCTCAAAAATAGGGCATCACATTCATGAGGACAGTGACACCATATTCTGCATAAATTAAAAGACTACCTGAGGGCCGGGCCCCATAGGACCCATGCCACGAGGGCCACTCATTCTCTGCATTGGCCCCAAATTAGGATGACCTGGAGAAACAAAGGCAGTTTTTGATGTAACACAGGAAAAAAAAAAGCAAACGGGTGATGTGTGAGTGTTAAAGCCTTGGCAGGAACAATCTGCACCTTGTGGTCGTGTAGGATCCATGTTGGGCAACATGGGATGGGGTCCAGGTCCCCCACCAGGAGTCTATCAAAAAAAAAAAAAACAAAGATGCAGTTAAACTTTAGTTTAAAGGGGGATGCAGTATGCACAAAAAAAACCTGCCATCTTGAAATAGCTACATTAATAGTCACTAATATTAATAATAATAATAGGCACAGGCTGATTCTACACAAGGAAAAAGCTTGCAGAGCAGATATCCGTTCCTTCTTTTCTTGTATATTTAAATAAAATTGACAACTGCATTAATCAAATTTGGATTATTTTCACACTTCTGCATGCTGCTGAACATGAACCCTGTATTTTCCTTTAAAAAAAAAAAAAAAACAAAACACAAGGAACTGGTCTTTGAAATCAGCCAGGCGGCTGCACTACAGAGGAGGTGTGTACGATACCTGGTTCGGCATCCTCATGGGGGGACCCCTGGGACCTCCAGCAAAACGAGGTGACATGAAGGACTAAAACATAAACAGGACATTAAATTAGATTTTTTTATTAAATAATAATAGGCAGAATTGCTCTAATTTTATTTAATTATGTGAGAATTAAAAATTTTTTTGAAAGCATCTGAAGCTTAAAAAAATCCCTGAGCATGAAGCTTCAGCTCCGAGAACGACTGCAGGTAGCATAAACCAGAGAGAATGAAGAAGGGAGCGAAAGGAAGAATTATAGCATTACCTGACTGTGTGGTCCCATCATACTGTTAGGGGGAGGAGGCTGAGGGTGAGGAGAGCCCTGGGGACCAGGTGGACCCTGCAGCATCACAGAATGATGGGGCAAGGAAGGGGGAGGTGGTGGGGAGGGTGAGTCAGATGAGAAAAGGAGTGTGCAAGAAGGAGCATTGAGATAAGCAAGGTTACTAGAAGGCAGAGGACAGCAGAACTGAACCAAAGCATGGTGCCAACGCATCAAAGACAGGGTGCTCATTTTCATGTACAGAGCAGAGCAGAACAAGCAAATGATAGCCCTGAACAAGAAGGAAGAGACAGTGATGAAGAGGATGTGGGCTCTTCCGCCTGTCAGTCAAGGCATAAAGAAGCCTGCTGCATGCAGCGTGTTATCAGTGCTAATTTCTCCGAATTAACAGCATCAATTAAGCTCTATGCAATTAGCTTTATAACAACACTAAACACTAGCACTTTGGCACTAATGTTGCTGATCTGACAGAATGAAGGGGCTAATTGAGCTGCCTCGTTTGGTTTGTGCTAGGGATAGTGGGAATGGGTGTGTGCTCATTTAGATATCAAAACGACTTCTGATATTAACAAGTCACTGCATTATTTTCACTTGTAATTAACAAGACAAAAAAGGAGGAAAACTATTGGATATGTGATGAACAGCTTCCCCAGAGAGTCAGCTCCACACAGGTGCCTGTAAAGACTTTATTCTCTAGTTATCGATTTACACTAGGTGCTGCACCTTTCGATTTCTCCATTAGGGGAAACAGCCAGGCCACGCCTGCCTGTTTACAGCTCAGGAGGGGTCCAGACTGGCAGAACGCTTATGTTTATAGATCAAATCTGCAACCCACAATACTACTAAAAAAAAAAATTTTGAAGCAACGCATGAGAATGGAAGCTAAATCTACTCAGTAGGAGAATCAAAATGATTCAGTTTAGGATGAACAAAAATTGTGCTTGAATCAGTTTAAGAGTGTCCAACAGTAGTGACAGACTTACTTGGAAAAAGCCTGGAGGCATGGGTCCTCCTGGCATACCCTCACCAGGAGGCATCCCTCCCATCACGGGGCTGGGGGCTGCTGCTGCACTCTGAGAAACATCAAAATGAAAAGCTTCTTATTGTTCTGCACAACGTAAGCTAAGCATTTCAGCAACACAAAACATTACCTCCATGTATGCCCACTGCCTTCAACCCCTGCATAAACCTGCGAATAAACCTCCTCCCTGTTTTTCCTGTTTAAGCATAGTTGAACCATCCTACATGTCGCCATCTCAGACCTCCATAAGGTATTGATAGGCTCTTTATTGAGGTCTGAGCGCCTGCTGATTGGGATCCAGCACGATCAGATAAGTATCAGAGGGATGCACTGAGTCAGAGGCTCCAAAGTGCTGCTGCACAGCAGGGGCAGGCTGGGCTTATTTCCTGCTCAAACCGCAGCCCTAATTCACTAATGTGCCATTTGCTTCGGTCACACGCTCCTAATTGACTGAGTTTTTCTTCCCTGCAGCTGAAGCAATCTGAGATGAGCTAATGTCTTCTGAGCTGTGGGGTTTAGCTTCCAGGGAACAACAAGAGAAGCGATTTTACTTTAGATTGTTACATGCAGATAGAGACAGGCGACGACCTAAACAAGAATTAACGCATCAGGATCCACAGTTGCACTTAGATGTACTGTAGAGCCTCACAGCCCTGCAGACACCGCTGGTCAATAGCCAACTCACTCCTTTTATAATCGACTGCTGCACCCTCCCTAATCATATCTGCTCAGGCGGCCCCTGTGAAATACCTCAGTGAGGAGAGAAGTGAGACCACAGAGAAGAGTCAGTTCCCTCTATCACAGGACACTCACATAGACAGCAATAATACTGCTTTTTCCCCTCACTTCGGAATCCAAATCAATGATAGTATTTCACCTAAACAAGAGATGCAAATATGCAATTCCCCATCCTATTAATGCAGCCACATTTACCAAGTCACACTAAGAACCCCCTCCAGTGTGGGATTGTCAGGGTAAAGACTCAAAGTTTGACACTTTCAATATTGCAGACACAGAGATTTAAAAAAAATGCCATAACTAGGCATTTCCTATGACATGAAAAGACATGTCTGTGGTTCAGTTAAGGTATAAGAGAGATCCACACTTTGATCAGATAACAGGAAGGCAGAATAGAGTTTTTGTTTTATCTAACAGAGCAATAGGCTAACATTTCCATTGGACAGTCTTGAAATGTAAGTTAAAGTGAGGAATTCAATTCACTAGGTAATACACACAGAGAGCTGTATTTACATAAAGCTAGTCATACTTATAAACAAGATTGTGAACACAGTTTGAAAAGGTTACTCTGCAACAATCAAGTATTTCCTGTTTCATGACGTCTATAGCCCCATTTACACAACCGTCTAAAAACCGATCAGTGCTGAGTTCAGACCAAGCTTCAATCAGTTAACCATGCTGAGCTTGATTCGTTAAGACCGTTTACACATCACGCTAGCACGGTTCCTTGCCTCCTAGTGACAGTCTATGGTACTACTGCTCTCTAGTAGGAAAACTTTGTGATTAGGTTTTTTTTCCGTCCAACATAATCTCGGTGTAATCCCAAGCTCTTTTGAAGCCATTTTAAAAAGTGTAATGTTGAGAAGATTTTAAATGTTGTTTACACTTTTTTCTTCTTCTTCGTTTTGTGGCAATTGGCAAGCAACTTAGGCTACGTTCACACTGCAGGCCTTAATGCTCAATTCCGATTTTTTTGTGAAATCGGATTTTTTTGCGTGTCCGTTCACACTTCCAAGTATATGCGACTTGTATGTGATCTACTGTGTGAACTGAATGCGTCCAACCGAAGTGTCCCGCATGCGCACTCGAGGACGCGATGACGTCACACGTAGCAAGCGTCCTCAGTGTTTGCGGAAGTAAACATGACTCGTAATACCGCAGCGTATATTGCGTTCTTTAAGTTCTTCTCCAACAGGAGCAGGCACATTACGAACGAAATCTTTTTAAGAAGATCAAAAAGAAAGACCCTCCCCCGGTTCCGGTAAGACCCTTCGAGTTTGGTCTGAATCGAGCTTTCTAAATATGAATTAAGTCAGCAACCTCACTTTCTCTCCATTGACTGCTCTCTGTGTTATCTTCCGCCATGGTTGCTAGTTTTTCCCGCCTCCGCTTAGTAGGACGCAGATTAGTAACGTTTAGTAATATTTGTCAAGTATCAATGACGTGTAGGTCGGATGAATGCGACCTGGCCGTACAGACACAGGTCGCATTTGAAAAGATCAGATACGTATCGGATTCAGGACCACATATCCAAGTGGCCTGGGTCGCATTTGAAAAAATCCGATCTGTGTCGTTCAGACTGTCATAAAAAGATCAGATACAGGTCACATATGGGCAAAAAAATCGGAATTGGGTCACTTCAGGCTGCGGTGTGAACGTAGCCTTATTGATGTGCATTACCACCAACTACTGGAAGCTGACTGTAAGGAGATGAACTCTGTCTGCTCATGTGCTTTTTGTTATCAGAGGGCCGAGCCATAACTGAACTGCGTCGAGCCCTACTGTTGAACTACTACTAGTTTAGTACGGTTTGGTTGTGTCTGACACGGTCTGGTTCAGTTTGCATGGCATTTAGCGCAACAGTTATCTCAGTTACTGTGCTGGGACCGCTCTCGGCACAGTTGCAAATCGTTAGTGTAAATGTAACTTATGGCTGCTCCCCACTGACCTTTAACTGCAGAATGACTCGAAATACTTATCTCTATTTTAATGCTTATCTTTTCACAGCTTTTCAAAGGAAATCATAGTGCGGTTAAATCTATTTAAAAAATCTTAAAAAAAATTAAAAAAAAGTCTTAAAATCTGTATAAACAGTCAAAGGTTAAACACCAGAGATGAAGCATTACTGTCTATGAGACTTTTTAACAGATCTAGCTGTGCACACTCATGCTAATAAAAGCCTGTTTAGCGCATCTGTAGCAAGTTTTGTTTTGTTTTTTTTATCCAACATCCGCTAAATCCATCAATTCGTTTTTGAAAATATATGCATCATAAAAAGTAATAATATAATGCTATTAAATAAGGCCTGAATCAAAAAAGCAATAATAAAATACATCTAATCTTTGTCAACTTGGTTAGAAAGATCCTAACTTGACATGTGAAGCATGATTTAGCATGTAGATTTATTTAACACTGATCAGTGCCTCCATGTTGCTAAAAATAGCAAACCAATCACATGCAAACATCACTGTTGGAAGCAGAAACACATCAGTGGTGGGGAATGTCCTGCATGCTTTATCTCCAAAAACCCTCTTCCTGCACACGAACAGGCAAAACTACATGCAAGCATGTGCATCATGTCTGGATCCCAGCTACTGTTTCTGTCAGGTATAGGATCCGACAGGAACATTCTGAAATACTTCCTGTGAAGCGGATCCTCTTTGCATCGACTAATCAATAAATATCTTTCTGACCCAATGCCCAAGTCTGCACCATGTAGGAAGAACCCACACTCACAACCAAGACACTGTTGCATGGTGGAGAATGTAACAAATACTTCTGCATAAAATATAAAAGTGAACCTGTTTCACAAGGTGGAAACTGCTCAGACCAGTCAGAGTGAAGGGTGGCGTTAGGACTACACCCTGCATGAAATGTTAAGCTGACATGGGCGCGCAGTAATGTGTTTATATAACCTTTGAGGTCTGACAGGTGTACAGACAGACAGACACAGTAGGGGATTGATATATAAAAGACTTGATAATGATTTTTTTCATTAAGCTTTAAAGATTAGAAAAAATAAAAATCAGTAGACTGTATGCAGACTACCAAGAATGATAACATTTTATATTTATTTAAGCGTTTTACATAGGTTCATAAAATCTCTGCAAAGTTTAACTTGGTGCATGTGTGGTGCACTGCCTCTCTATGCAGCAGGAGTACCCCCCCCCCCCCCCCCCCACCATGATAGCTGCTCGTTGCAGCTATGCTGCTTTCAGTGACAAGACAAGACTAAAAATAATTGACTAATTTTGCTAACACAGAAAGTGAGAAAAGCAGACAAGCGAGCCAAAACCAACCTTGGAAAGAGGCTTATAACCCAAAGATCAGCAGATTGAATAAGATCATTATCTTCTAGAGCTGCTCATTGCAAGCTAGAATAATTAAAAAACATTAGTGACAAGCTTGTGGGGATATAAAAAAGTCAAGCATATTTTATTTATTAGACTTGCATACTTAGAATACAAAAATCAATTAATTAACCTGGCTACATTCACTTAACTGGCAATTTCCACACAAAGGCATTAACTACTCTGACCCAAATTAATTATCAAAGATTCTGCATCATTTCTGTATTTCTCAACATCTTCCACAGAAGACTTATCATTCGGATTAAATGTTAGTATGAATCAAATTAGGGCTGTTCGATTTTACCAAAAATCTAACCATGAGCCGTTTGGCTCAAGGGTTTCATAGTTTTCATGCCCTGAATGCTCTCATGTTCAGTCCCTTGTCACAGGACTTTATTGCCGAGTCTAAAAAGCTCACTTCTCACTGACGTGCATGGATCTGTGTGCTAGCTGCAACACTTTCTCCCCTTATGTGTGGCATTAAACTCCCTTTTAAGCGTTTTAACTCCTCCTAAACAACTGAATTGGGACAGTTGTTGTCTAAGGGGTGTTTACACCAGAAAATGAATTTGCTTCACTTGCTTTCTCCAGATGAAATTGGGACCTTTTCTTCTCATTAGGTTCGGTTTGTATTCAAATTGTCTTTGAAATTGTACTTGCAGTGAAATATAATTTATAAGAAAGTCAAAGGTGTGACTATCGTCGGACAGTGAACAGATCCCCAAAAAATGGAGGAACGCTTCCATTTCATAATGTTGCCCCTCTGTTTTGCATAGTTATGCTGTTATTACGGCAAAGCTGTTGAGTCTAGAGAAGCTCAATCAATGTGGATTTTGAGGCTTTCTATTTTTATCTGTTTTATTTAGCGACATGTCCGAGTATGAGTTCTCCAAGCTGAGGGAGAACAACCGCTTGCTGGCTACAGTGTTGCCAAGCAACAGAGAGTGGAACACGTAATGCTAGG